GTACTTTATTTAACTCTAAAACCAACCAAATAGCCATACACATTTTTTATGAAGAATATATTTTTAATGTTGTGATAAAATAAATTATATGGTGTTTGTCTTAATAGAAGAGGACGAACAATTCCAACGTGACATCTCTTTGGATGGTACTTACGAACTGCACTACCACCAACAACTGTAATAATTGTTAAATCCATATGAATTAAAATATATATATATATATATCGGATTTTAATAGTTATTAGGAACGTTAATGGTGTGAATGATTTAATAGTCGTATTCCATGTTCCAACAGTATATGATTTATTATCATATTAGATTATTAAATACGCCTAGCCTCATCGTCTCTCTACTATATAAACCTCAAACCAGTTTCTGATTAATATATCAAATAATAAACGCCAATTATAAACTGAGAAAGAAAGAGCTTTTATTCACTAATGGCGGATGAGAAGAGCTACAAGTACGTGATCGTTGGAGGAGGTGTCGCCGGCGTAAGTATCTGCTCCTCTCGATGCACTATAACGGATTTGCTTTCATTAGTGTCACTAATTATACAACTATTATATTACATGTTTAAGTCTAATATTCTTTTTATTCGTATAAACTTGCATTGAAATTTTATATCGATATATTGTAACTACTGAATTAACCTTTTTGACATACGTAATCACAGGGCTACGCGGCGAGAGAGTTCACAAACCAGGGCCTGAAGCCTGGTGAACTCGCGATCATTTCCAAGGAACCAGTATGTTTATCACTCTTAGAGTTAGAGTTTTCTCTTGATCGATGTTTTTCCTTGTAACTACAATATAATTGTGTATATAGGTGCCTCCTTTTGAGCGTCCTGAACTAAGCAAAGTATATATTGACTCTGGTGGTAAACCTTTTTAACTTTATAACATCTTTGTCAATATATAGACCCATTTTCAAGTACTATGGATTTTAGTTAACTTGGATCATCATTACAGCCAACCCTACACTTGCAAAACACTATGTATGTGCTGGAACTGGAGGAGAGAGGCAGTACCCTAAATGGTACAAAGATAAAGGTAAATTTTGCATTATGTCTGCTCCAAAAAATTGATAGTGAAAAAAAAAAAAATTGATAGTGACTTTTTTCACTTGGGAAGCTTCTGGTGAACTCTTGAAATGTTTCATTTGATAGGGATTGATCTGATTCTGAGCACAGAGATAGTTAAAGCAGATCTTGCTTCTAAGACACTTGTTAGTGATGATGGACAAATATTCAAGTATCAAACCTTGTTAATTGCAACCGGTTCTACTGTAAGCACAATCCACTTCTCTTCATCTCTCATTTCTAATCATCGAACTTCACAACTCATCTTGAGAAGTCCTAATTAAATTAGTATTTCTTTTTCCAGTTTGTAAGATTGTCAGAATTTGGCATCCAAGAAGCAGATATAAAGAACATATTCTACCTAAGGGAAATAGAGGACAGTGATGAGCTTGCCTTGGCTATGGAAATATATAAAAAAGGAGGAAAAACTGTGGTTATCGGTGGCGGTTACTTAGGGCTTGAGCTCAGTGCTGCTCTTAGGGCTAATAATCATGAAGTCACCATGATTTTTCCAGAACCTTGGATTAGTAAGTTGATGCTTAACAAATAAACTTTAGCTCATTACAATGGATTAGTAACATTTTTTTTCCCTTTGTTTAGTGCACCAGCTTTTCACCGCAGAGATGGCTTCATTCTATGAGGGTTACTATGCCAACAAGGGAATCAAAATCATCAAAGGAACTCTAGCCACTGGATTTAACACCAATTCAAACGGAGAAGTCACTGAAGTTAAACTAGACGATGGAAGAATCTTAGAAGCTGGCATGGTTGTGGTTGGTGTGGGTGGTAGACCAGTGACATCACTTTTCAAAGGTCAAGTTGTTGAGGAGAAGGGTGGAATAAAGGTTTGTGTTACACGCTACCAAAAAAATGATGAAGCTCTTGTTAATTACCATTAATTAGTACTGATATCATTCGTTTTCAATTGTAGACTGATGCATTATTCAAAACAAGTGTCCCGAATGTATACGCTCTTGGAGATGTAGCTACCTTCCCCATGAAAATCTATGGCGAGATGAGACGTGTTGAACACGCCGACCATGCTCGCAAATCTGCTGTACATGCCGTTAAGGTATGAGCCCTAGTTGTTTAGAGCAATATTATTGGAGGTTTTTAAGCTTGGGGTTCTAAAAATATGTATATATATATATTATATAGGTGTATGTAATTGTGGGTTTTTAGCTTTATAGGAAACTCAACCGAAGATTTTTATTTTTATAGGAAACTCAACCGAAACTTTCGGTTGAGTTTCCTATAAAGCTAAAAACCCACAATTATCACATATATAATATATACATATATATTTTTAGAACCTCAAATTTAAAAACTCTCAATAATGTTGCTCTTATAGTGTCGAAATAAAATCTTCGTTTTGGCCTTTAAATATAAACAATTATTATATATGTGTCGAATGGACTCAAATTGTCGATTTTTATTTATAAAGTTAACCTAAAAATGTTTAGTGCCTCCAATCTTAGATCCGGTCCTGCTTTTGAAAATACTAATTTCTTTTTTTTTGTTATAATCTTTTGTAATTCTATGGTGTTTGCAGGCAATTAAAGCGGTTGAAGAAGGTAGAACGGTCCCAGATTATGACTATCTTCCTTATTTCTACTCTCGGTTTTTTGATCTCTCGTGGGAGTTCTATGGGGACAACGTTGGAGAGACTATATTGTTCGGAGACAATGACCCGAAAAATTCAAAGCCGAAGTTTGGGACGTATTGGGTTAAAGATGGGAGAGTAGTTGGAGTGTTTCTAGAAGGAGGAACTTCAGAGGAGAACAAGGCCATTGCTAACGTGGCACGAGCACAACCTAGCGTTGAGAGTCTTGACGTGTTATCCAAGGAAGGTCTTTCTTTTGCCACCAATTTATATAGCAACACTCTTTGAGACATTTGGGTTTTTGTTTGGTATTAGTTACATGATGTGATGTAATGTAATAGAATCTCCTTTGTCTTTGATTTTTATATCGAGCCCTTCTATATCTGGGAAATAATTTGTTGGATTAAAATTTTGTTTAAAATTTTAATAACGCCCTGGATTAAAATTTGAATTTATAAATATATTACTAGTGTTTTGTTATTTTGCCTCGGGTAGAAATTTATCCTAGATCCGCTACCGGTGGCCATCGATACCAATCGTATCTGCCGTCGGGTAGTCCGCACTGGATGTGGCGCTATGGACTGTCTGTTATAGTGCTCATCCATATAGTAGACAAATAATCTTGTTAATTTTGTTTCGTATCTAAATACAAAATGACAAAGATACGAATGAATAATTCGATAGACATTTATATGTATATTACGGGGTCAATATTTTTAATTCAATTATGGGTCAATACATTTACTGTATTATCTGTTTGTGGTGTATATGTTTGCTGAGGATTGTGGTACACAATTGAAAGTGACAGGACAAAGAATGCATGATCAAACAAGAGCATGATGTTCGGTCTCTTTAAGATCTTAAATGTTTGTTACAATACTGTGAATACTATGTGATTATCTACGCGCATGCATAGAGTGAAATTTATATATTAATGATTGTAACTGTCATGTAATAAGTCTCTAAACGTACAATCATGCACCATCAATATAAAGTTAATGATTACGATGACATTTGTTGATATTTTGTTATTAAAATCTGTTTAAATTACATTCAGTTTTAATGATATCATCTAGATGTTATAATTCACCATCTCAATTTGATATCATAAACTATATTTGTGAAATGTACGATCAAATAACATTTGAGATCCACGTTTGCACGAAATGAATATTATTTATGTTGGTAAATTATTTATATATATTATTATTTATTGTGTATTTATTTACGTATGCAATAACAAATATATTGAATATTTGATAAACAAGAAACTATTACATATATAATTAAATTATAATAGGCAAATAAATAAATATAATTCCTCTTTTTATTTACAATAATTTTGTTGGTAAAAAATTAAAAAAATTATGTATTTATTTTATATGGTATATAATTAAAATTAATGATATTAACATATATATGTAGTATATTTTAATTGAGACTTCATACATATAATTTTATTAACATTTTTATATTTTCTGTAACAAAAATATTATTTTATTAATATGCTTATTTATTAGTTTAGGCTTCCTACTCAATGTAAATTTTGAAACTAACATGTTTATGTATTTTATATATAACATATATATATATACATATATTCTAAATAAGACTTCATATTTATATGATTATATGAACATTTGTATTTTGTTATAGCAAAAAAAGTTAAATCATTGATCGCAAAAATCTCAGTGTGGATCTTAATAATATATAGTCGTTTAAAAATTCAAATATAGCATATAAGAAAAAAAAATCTAATTTTTCTATTATAATTTCAATGTGATTGTTTATTTATTTTAAGAATATAAAATTAAACAAAAATTATGAAGGATACGAAAAATGTTGTCAAATCTTTATTATTCAAAATCATTAATTATCATAGATTTGTTAACTATATTAGGTAATTTCGTAGTTTATATTTAAAGAAGAATGTGGAATATTCTTTTATACACTACTAATTAATTTGATAGTTAATTTAATAAAAAATATAATATATGTTTAGATGGATTAAGCTATTTTATAAAGATTCTATGAATCATTGTAGTGATAACATGTTGTTAACAAAACATGTTGTAATACTTCAAAATTAATATATAAGAGATTTATATAGGTTTAACCAACATATTACTACATATTAAGTCTAATAGACTGCTACAAACAGGTAAAACTAAAATTTGGAAATTGATATTTGGTATTAGACCTCTGGGACCTTGTGGCTAGATGGTAAAAAAACGAGATTTGAGACACCAACACAATGTAACTATTACGTGACATTAATGACATTGTTCATGAATACATATATAGATATAGACCTTTGTTTTCGGTCCATTTACATATCTAAAAGAGAATCAATTTGTAAACAACACTTCTCCTAATAGATAACTATAATTTAGGGATAATCAAAGACCTAAACCGCGGGTCTGGCCCGTAAAGGCTTGCTGTGGGACGGGATTGGGCATTGATTTGATAAGCCCGCAAAAGTATAGACCTCACGGAACATGGACGGGTCGAATGCGGGACGGGCTCAAAATGGGACGGGCCGAATGCGGGACAGGTTAACTCGCAGGATTTTGAAGACCCACAACCATAAGTCCCCATTTCTATTTGGATTTGTTCTCAGTACTATAAATTGCGTTATTACTATGTGGAATTTTCTTGTTTAAGTTGATGAGTTTTGTTTTCAGTATTATCAAGTAGTGTTTTAAAAAAAAATTAAATTTTGTTATAATGATGTTGTTAAAGAGTTATTGCTTGTTGAAGAGCTACTGTTTGTTCTTTAAACGGCTCGAAATGAGAGTTTGGGTTACTGCAGAATCTTGTCTTTACACTCTAAGTTCAACAGCTTGGTTGAAAGAGAAGAAGAAACCATTAGTATTAAGTTATTGTTGCTATGAAGAGACGTTGCTTTACAAAGAATCAAACAAGGAATATTCTTGAAAGAGTTAAATTTTACTGTCCAAATGGCTCTCACTTACTTCAAGACCATTAAACCAGCGAATGATCACATTGGATGTTGTTGCAATCGATGTTGTTCAGCTCTCTTCAACTTCTTTATACAACTCTTCTACTTTAACATTCATGAAGAAAGCTGAAGGAGACGTTCTGTGGGACGGTCCGTGAAGGCTTATAAATTATGCGGTACGGGATTGGGTAGCCATTCGGAAGACCGCAGTCCATGCGGGACAGGCCCGTCATGACCCGCTCGACGATGAGCCCGCTGTGGTACGGGATGTAACGGGACGGGAAAACCCAATTGCCATCTCTACTATAACTTTATCCGCTCGTCTGCGGGTATTTATTTTTATTAATTTATATTTTATTTATATATTATGTAACGTTACTCTTTATATTTCACAGTTTAAATGAATATAACTTCATATTTGTATTTTGATATGTGTATGTTTCTACATTCTTAAGAACGTAAATGTGTGGAAATCATTTTTTTTTCTATCATGATTTTTTACCCATATATTTTTATCATGTTTTTGATTGAGATATTGTATATATGTATGTATATTTAAATTAAATATACATTAAATCATTAGCTTACAAATAGATACATTTAATCAGTTATTGAATTTTATTTATAGATAAGATAAATTAAAGAAAATATTTTCCCGTCTATGTAAAGGAATGAGCATGATTTTTTAACAAATAATTCAGTTTTTAATAGTAAAATATTCTTAAAAATTATGTGTATCAAAAAATAATAGTTTGTTAAGAATAAAAATAGTGTTAAGAACACAAACGCTTAACAATAACTCCTACAAAATACAAATAAAACACATAAATGAAATATTGACAATAAATTTGATAAACAGTTATAGTATTTTATGTATATTTATATTGGTGAGAATAAAAAGTTGTTCAGAAAAAAAAAGTAAAAAAGTAAAAAAGATAACGTTGGAGGGTTAGTTCATGTATATTATTGATGTGCATTAGTGTTAGTTGTATTGATATGATGTCGTTCAAAAAAATATAGATATGCAATATATAAATTTAATTTATGAAATGTTTTACTAATATTAAAAGATATGGAAAGTGTAAAATTAAGAGTAATTGTTAGTTTATTAACTTTGAAATGAAAAGAAAAAACTTAAATTTAGATTTAGTTAATATTTCAATAGCATGAGAGTGTAAATAACTTGCATAATTAAGAGGTAATTTAATTTTGTACTTTCTTTTGATAAATTGCATACTGTATCTTTATCTTTCTTTTTTTGGTAAAATCTGTATCGTTATCTTTTTCTATAATTACATTCTATAATTAATATATTTTGTGATTATCTTTTTCTAATAATTTAAAACCAATAAAAATCTAATAACTGTACTTTTTTTTTTTTTGAAATTTGCAATTAGTCATTATTATTTGTTAAAATATGCATTGAAAATATAAAAAATGTATTTTTTAAAATAAGTTTTTTTCTAAATGTAACTTAATAAAACAGAGGGGATATTATTATTTTTTGTACCTACGCTATGGATTAATATTTAAGTTTTATTAAATATCTTTTAGATATAAATATACAGTTAATCATATCAATGTATAATTCATTCATGATAACATGAACACTGGTGTCCAGTGTCATTGTTTTTACAAATGCAACGAGGATAGCATTTGTCGTTAACTTCGATTTTGCAATTAAAGGAAGCCTGCGCTGCATTTGGATCACATTTTCCGCTGCCAAGGTGAACAAGTAGTGGCGCACAATCTTCTGCCTTCACTATTTTATATCAACAACAAAATATTAACTGGTAGATAATAAAATTGATAATGCAATAAATACAAGTTTGTATAAAATGTATACCATCAAAATGTTTTCTAATCGAAACCATATATATATGTTACCTTTTGTATTATGCAGCACGAAAAACATCAGAACACAAGAAACCACAAACAAAGTAGCAGATTTCATGATGCAAAATTTAATAAATGACTTTTATGTTTCTTGTGAATTGTTTTGTTTATTTTGTACTGAATATTTTCTCATCACCATTGCTTGTATATATATATGAAAAACACACAAAGACATTTTGAATTCTCTCAATTAAAAGGCAATAAAATCGTATTTGACCAAAATAATTAATTCGGGTAATAGATTTTATTTGACTTAAAAGTAATCTAGATTTGCATGTCTATACATATTAACCAGGTGTTTTACTGCACCATGTGCAATGAATTTTTTTTAAAGTTTAAATTCTATTTAATAATAAATTTATTAATATTATAGATTCTATTATTTTCTTATCAATATTTAAATATAGATTTGAATTAGTTAAAAAATAACTTAAGATAAAATATTTTTTATTTAAATTATATTTAATAATATATATGTATATATTTAAATTATAATCTTAGATAGATTTTTCTATCCATTTATATTGGTTAAATATATTAAGTTAATGTGTATACAAATAATAAAAGTGAAATAATTATCAAAAATTTAAACTAAACAATATTTGCAAAATTTGTAGATATATAATAAACTAATGATTTTATGATTAGAAATTTTATATTTTTCAAAATTGTAGAAACTTGGAAAATTTTTAATACAAACTGTATAATATAAAAAATAAAATAGAATAATATTTCGAAATTGGTAATGTTATCTTTGAATATATTTATTTTTAAAATGATGTATGAGTTATTATAAGATGATGCATGAGTTATTGTAATATTTAAATTTTTTACTATAAATAAATATCAACATTAAATGTAAAATATGTGTTATTATCATATTTAAAAAGTTTACCAAAAATATAAATCAACATGAAATGTAATTATACATGTCATATTTTGTCATAAGCCATGTTATTAATTTTCATAGCCATGTCATTTTTTATGAAACTGACTAGTAAAAGTGACATATGGCAAAATCACTTCACAAATAATATATAAGGGATTCTGCATTTCCTCTTTTTATTATCATATTTAAAAAGTTTACCAAAAATATAAATCAACATTAAATGTAATTATACATGTTATATTTTGCCATAACCTATGTTATTAATTTTAGTAGCCATGTCATTTTTTTGTGAAACTGACTTGTAAAAATGACATATGGCAAAATCACTTCACAAATAATATATAAGGGATTCTGCATTTTCTCTTTTATGCATCAATATCAACATCTGTGTGCTAATAATAATTACAATTTGGATTTATTTAGATATATATTCAACATTCAACAATATATAAAATAACTTATTTCTTTACTTTATGAAATAAAAGACGGACACTGTTAAAGTAACAGTTTCAACAAGATATCCATCATAACTTATGAATAATTTTTTTTTTGCAAAAAATCTGTAGAATATCTTCTTTATTGGACAAAATCTATAGAATATCTACAAGATATCCTTTTATTATATTTTAAAATATATATTTTTGAAAAATAACAATCTAGACAATCTTCTTATATTTTAAAAATATTACACATGAAGTATTATCTTCTTATATTTTAAAATATTACAAGAAATCCTTTTATTATATTTAAAAAATATATAAATTTGCATGTTTGAATATGTATTTACATTTAAATAGTACACATGGATTATTATATTCAGTGTTATGAAACACAATCCAGATACGTTCTTAAACCGACAAAACCGATGACTTTATATGTAATCCGATTTGTTTTTTTTTTAACTCATTATTTAAAAATTCTACCTCCACAATTTCCACTAAAACCTGAGACTCTATTACTGGTTCAAAGTGCGGGAATATTTTTGAAACAAACCAAATCTATATGATATAAATTTGTATTTTGATTATGTATCAACATTTACATGTTACATATAAAGCGCTATATTCAGTGTTCTGAAACATAATTTGGATCCGTAGTTAAAACGACAAAATTGATGACTTTATATGTATTCCGGTTTGGTTTTAAAAAAAATTAGTTATAAAAATTCTATAAACCCGCAAAAAAATTGTGTTTTAAAGTTGATGGACATTATTTTTGCAAGAATATTCAAAAGTATTTTGAAATAGATTAGCCCATTAAGCAACCCATTAGATAGATATTGTTTGTACAAATTATATAGTTTTTAAGCCCAAAAACCAAAATATCATATTGCCATTAATGAACAGAATGTCACCGAGGAAAATAGAGGTTCGATATCCAAAGTAATAAGGTTTGCATCAAAATATGTAGAAAGATAAGCAGATTCTACATAATTGCTGCGATGTCTCATGCTTTACCTTGGCATCATAGACATCTTACAAGAGTACAACATGACCAAGAAGATCGAGCATGCTTACAAATCTCTTCACTTTGATTCTTGGTTGATTTCAGCTGTTGATCCTACATCCTACTCTCAACGTTTTCTTGAGTTCATCAAGAATGTGTTTCCACAGAACAACTACTCATAGAGAAAGAGACAGAGACAAGAGTACAATTATGTTAATATGTTAAACACAATACAACACCACCATTGCATTAACTCAAGGTCTTTGTAACACTAGAACATTATCTACTATTTGGCCATGGAAATAGCAAGATAAACATAAGATCACAGCCCATCAATGAAGTTTCTCAACTACTCATTCTAAAGTGACAATAACAATAAGAACTTAGGAAGAGCTCTAAAATGATAAAGAGAAGAGATTAAAAAACCGGTCCATGAAACTCCTAAACATAACGGCAGCAAGCTAATTTCTAAGTTGTAGAAGACGATGAGGCTTTGTTAGTATCTTGTTTCGTGATCTTCATCCATTGAGGCTACAAAGCAACAAAAACAGTAGACAAGTTCCCCATTAACATTTAGTCAGTTTCATAATCCTAACATCTAGTCAGTAGTAGACTCCATGTGGTTCTTTACCTCGGCTTTTGTATCACTTTCTGTGAGTCTTTGTTTTATGTCTTTCGCGATAGAACCGAAAACCTGCTCCACATTCTGGTTTGTTTCTAATGTGTTGTAAAAAAAATAAATGAGGAGACAAACAAGTTATATATATATTCTAGCTCACTGTCATAAAGAGGTTAAACTTAAATAAAAATATAAAAAACTTAATTGTTTCGTAGGGAATATTAACCCACATATTTCAAGATAAATTAGAGATATATGAAATTTTTGTGTTTATACATAGTTGCATCTAACACTGATATATGATAAATATCAAAGAGTTTTGATACCTTAGTTGTCCAAAGTTCTCTAGAAAATAGAGATTTCATAGTGTTTAGTTCATCGGTTTTGATGGTATATGGAATTTTATTAAATTCTTCTGTTCAAAATTAGAACTGATGTCCATGTACCATGAATATAAGTTTAGTATATTAATATAAATTTTGAATTTGGTTAGGTACTTTTGAAACAAACTAAAGAGACCTTTATATAACATTTATCGAAAAATTCAATTTTTTTAGGGAATAACCAACATATTTCAAGGTAACTTAAAAAATATCTTAGTTTTTTTAAATGAATGATGCATCATGCAGTGACATAGTATGAAAAATAAAAAGATTTTAGGTGTTCTAGTTTCTCCAAAAAAATAGAATTTTTATAGGGATTAATCCACTTATTAGGTGGTATATGATGTTTAAAATATATTACTCATTGAAAAATTAGAAAAGATGACCAAGTACCACGAAAATAAATTTAGCATACATATATATAAATTTGGAGTGTTGTTATGTATTTTTAAACAACACTAAAGAGTCTAAATAGTATAAAAAGTATATATCGAAAATTCAATCTTTTCGTAGGGGTCAACCTACATATTTCAAGATAAATTATAAAATATGCTATTTTTGTTATAATGCATAACTGCATCATGCAGTGATATAGTATGAAGATTAAAGAGGTTTAAAACCTTAGGTATTCTCATTTTTCTATAAAAAAAAAAGATTTTATAGGGGTTAGTACAATAATTATGTTGTATATGAAATTTAAAAAAAAATATTCATTGAAAAATTAGAAATGATGGTCATATACCATTACAATATGTTTAGAATACATTAATATATATTTTGTGTATGGTTAGGTATTTTAAAAAAAACATTAAATCTGCTAAACTTTAGTATATATAGCATTTATTGGAAAAAAACTCGATAGATATTGATAGATGTAATCTACATTTTACAAATGTTACAAAGACTTTGTTGAAAAAGAATAAATAATATTTTATAAACATATAAATTATACAGTATGGTATGTTTGTTTTTATAAAACATATTACGGATTCCTTACTAGTACTAACTAATAATCTTATACTTTATATACCGCTCTACCAAGGCTAACTACTATAATCATATTTCCTTCCTTCACGACTGGAACAGATTGTTTGAATATCAACAGCGGAGGAGGAATCGTAATGACGCACTAACCGAGTAATTACGGAGTATGTGTCTCTTCAGTATCGTCGTGAGTGACGATAAGACATAAAATTATGATTCATAACTCATAAGTATCTTAGTCTTTTGTATAGTTTATTTGTGTTTTTATCTCTCTTTTTTAAAAAATGTTACTTCTTTGTCTTCTTTATGAGTGTAGAACATACTTCCCTTAACGTCAGTCGCAAGAGATGATATTTGTGATTCTTCCATTAAAACGTAGACTTAGTTTTCTTTAGCCACAAGAAAAAAAATCATTAGGAGAGCAAATAAAGAGGATATATATGTAATCAAGAAATATCGAGTGGAACTTCCTAACGGTGGACTACAGAAAGCTTCTACGATGTTTTTTATAATTGTAGAGAAACCAATTGAAACCATACAAAATTATGGTTTATTCAATAAAGTATATAATAAAGTTACTTTTCTTACGAATAACAAGAACCAAGAGTCTCGTAACAATTAATCTACAAAATAAAAATGTATATTAGTTGGTACCTAGAGTGAGGAATACAAACGAGTATTCCTACAATACTTTGCGTCAAAGGTTTGTTATTCTAATATATTGGTTTTCATATATTGGTTTTCACCACCTAGATATATATCATATATGCAAATATTCTATACATTTCTGCAAACACAAATCAAACCATTTTTTAAAAAAAAACTTTGAACGAGCCATGGACTCTTTCAATTTTTTTTCTCCTTCTTCTTCTCCTCCTCCTCCTCCTTCTAATTCTTCTTCGACTTTTATTTTATGCCCTAAATCGTTCCGCTCTGATAGGGTTTACATTTATAGGCCTTTAATAATACCTCACTATCTTAGCCCCATGGATTTGTCTAGAATCAATGTCGGCAAAGAGGTAGACTCGCTATGCTACACGTGCAGGCATGAGTCAATCGTATGTGATTATTGGTGTGAAAAATGTTGCATAGCCTACCACAAAGAATGTCTTGAACCTCCACGTCAGATCAAAGTTCTATATCATCCGAAACATCCTCTCCAACTTCATTGCTTATCTGTATATGATGGAAGGGACCACATGATCATGTGTAATTGCTGTGGAGAATGTTCTAATGACGATGGTTTATATTACTGTTGTTCTATATGTAATTTTAATTTGCATACCGTTTGTGCGATAAAACAAAATATCCTCTCCATAAACCACCCAAAAAGACATGACCATACCCTCATCTACTTTCCTAGAAAAAACTCTCTAGTTTGTGATATTTGTGCATTGGGTGATGACAAGTGTTTCATCTATATCTGTTACCAATGTGACTTTGTCGTTCATAAGTTGTGTCTCAACCTACCAACCACAATCAGAATATCCCGTCATGATCACCGTCTCTCTTTCACTCCGAGTCTTTCTAACGAGGATTGGTCTTGTGGAGTTTGTCGCAAAACAGTGGACAAAAACTATGGGGAATACTCTTGCGTGAAGGGTTGCGATTATGCTGTTCATTCTAAATGCGCAACACGAAGAGATTTGTGGGACGGTAAAGAACTTGAAGGAGAGCCTGAAATTGAGTATGAAGAGCTTAAGACTTTCGAAGAGATAGGTGATGGAATTATACAGCATTTCAGTCATCCAAAACATCACATGAAGCTGGAAAAAGAAAGTGATAAAGTAGATGACGAAAAATGGTGTCAAGCATGCATTCTTCCAATCTACGAAGGTAACACTTATGATTGCATGAAATGTGATTTTATTCTCCATGAAAAGTAACCTTGCTTAGTTGTCAATCAATTAGCATACCAATTAAACTGACGTGCTATTTTGTTCCACGGATTGTATATACAGTTTCGGAGGGAAAAATAATTTTCGAAGAGATAGGTTACATCTTTTCAAATGTTTCTCAATTAATATATAGGGGATTAATGATTATTACTAATGTCATAATCTGCTGATTCCGAGGGGAACCGAAGCTTGCCAAAGGATAGACGTTGCCCAATTTCTAAAGCCTTCTACAATCTTCATTGCTCCATATCTTAAAAAACTTTCCTTACAAGAACACAAAAATCACTTAGACTAGACATTAATTAGTAATCTCCTTTTTAGGCCATCCTCTAAAGATATAAACCTCTGATAAATCAGAGGCTTTTTCTTATTCACCTTAGGGGATGGCCATTCTCTTTTGATTTGTTGTGTTCTGCCAGATTAAGAGAAGGTTTCAATAATGGAGGATTGCTCGAGGTATTTATAGATTTTTTTCTATGATTTGTGCTACTTTTTTGTTTGTCTATGGTCATGAAGACATTTTAAAAGATACACCGAAAACGCATCTTAGTGTTCTTTCCACTTTTTCTCATTACTTTTTCATATTTTTTCTAAGAAACAGCTTATTGAAACAATGAATCAATATATATCATGTTTGTTAATGTTCTTTATAAAGGATATTCCTTTTGTATCATAGATGGATGCAATATGGTTGGTATCATATACACGTTTTTTTCTCATCTTAATATTACTTTTAAACGTCAACTTACACAAGCTCTCTACATAGATATAAAAAAACCCTAGACTCTCCCAGGCACGGGGCTCGAGGCACAAGCGAGATCTATGCCCCCCGGCGCCGGCAACGGTGTTTTTTGCCGGCGCTGGGCCTTATTGACGACGACGCTACTCTTCTCTTTCACCAACGTGTTTCTGAATTACTGCTCTGTATTCTGGTTTTCCGCTCGTGTTACTTGGATGTTTGAAGGAAGGCAGTCCCGACAGATGTTACGACGGAGAAGAGGACTCTTCGTTACGCCTCTTTCGGTGGTCCTTTCCTTCCAACTGGTCCTTCTCCAAGCGATGAGTCGAGAGGGTTCTCTCACCGCCGCTAAGCTCTGGTCTTCGGTTTTAAATCCCGTCGTACCTATCTCTGTTCACCGTCATGTTCAAGCTTTTCAACGCTTTATGGAGCCACAATTTCAAATGACAAGCTCAACATTCTCGTCTCCGGGGAGACTTGAGTACCACAAGCCACTGCAGGTTGCTCCTCTTCATCAAACTGACGACAGATCTCGAAGCATCACCAGTTCAGTTCTGATTTACTTCGGTATTATTTCACTTCCTTCATACCAAAAAGTGATGCTCCCCTCCCCTCCATTAATTCTTCTCGAGGGCGTTCCCTTTCCTCTCCGACGAAGCTCTACCGCCGAACAGCTCAGATCCTTCGTATCCCGTCCCAGAATGACAGCGTGTACTGAGGTAACAATTGATTATAGTTGGGCCTGGCCCATGTGTTTGTTTGAACCTGTCAGTCCAAGATATTTGGAAAGACCCAGATCTGTAGAAGAAAAAGTTATTCAGCGATTAAGATTTGTTGGAGTGGGTTCACTGGTTTTGGTTATCCTTCGATCATCCTCCTCGGTCTTGTTGCCGAGTGTCTACTTCAGCCTTCTCATCGGTTTGTCATCTTGCGTAGCGATCTCCACGAGATCTGAAGATGCAATCGAGATTACTTCGGTAGTTCTCGTAGATGAGGCCTGGACCTCAACGTCACATTATGTGACTATTCTCCAGCTGTCCGACTTTGTCGTGAAGGCTCTCTCGAAGCATTCAAGCATTGTCTTGAATCCGCAATCATCTTTGATCGAAGACTTATCTTTCTTAACTTTTTTATGGGTTGTATGTTATGCTTATGGCCAAAAAGGATGGATAATTCCCTCTTTTTATTGTATTGAAGAAGTTTGATTATGAATGAGAGTAAGTTTGTGTTCAAAAAAAAAAAAAACGTCAACTTACACAAACCCGGCAAACTTCAACTTAAACAAAACCGGCAAATATCATATACACGTATTTATTTTGTAGTTATTATATATGGCATGCTGAATAACAAAATACCCAATAATACATAAGAGCACATTCATCAAGGGATGATGGGAGAGATTCACACGCAAATCAAAAAAAAATTAATAAAATAATTAAATTCTATGAGTCCTCTCAAAAATTCACTGAGGTGAACTTCCATAAGGATGGGTTCACCGTGTGTCAGTTATTGATTGATCCATTATTAATTTTTTTTTAAAATAAATGAAAGAAAAAAGAATTAATTTTTTATTTGTGTGAACCCCTCCCCCAAAAGTTCACTGATGTGGATTCTCCAGGATTTCACTGGATGCTCTAAGGGGACTATATACAAGTGGAAGTGGAAGTGGAAGCAGATGATGCTGGAAACAAGGGGGGTCTTACGTGTAGGCCTACTTACGTGAATATGCTTGGAAATTTGGATCATCCTATGGAATATGCCATTTACCTAGATTGCCTTTTCAAGTAGTATACACTCATGATTCATATGATGACATGTAAGACTCCCCTTGTTACCAGCATCATCTGCTATATGATGGCATCTGCAACATTCAGGTTTATGACTAGTTCTTTACTATATGATGACATCTGCAAAATTCAGGTTTACAACTAGTTTTTTTACTATACACTTAATCATGTATATAATCTACCTGAGATGTCAGGAATATATAGTTTATTTTAAGAATATGACTAGATTTTGACCCGCGCGCCCGCGCGGGTATTTGTCTTTGGTAATCATTTGTTTTTGATTTTTGAAAATGCGAAAAATTATAATTGTTTAAACTTATAATTGTTTTCACGATATGTGATTAGTCTTCTTTTATAGAGTATGGATTTTTTTTTTTTTGCTATTATAGCATGGGTACTTTTTATGATAAGTTAATTTTTAAAAGATAATAATTTAATGGTTTAATTTAAAAGTTTCATTTGAAAACGCGTTTGTGCGGATGTTTATTCTTATAGTCATATGTTTAAAACTTTTGAAAATGCACAAAATTGAATTTTTAGATGGTTTATATGTTCTAGATTCATATGTTATTTAAGATTGACATTATTAAATGTGATTAGTGTTCACTTATAAATTATGAGATTATTTTTTCATTTGTTGTGTTTTTAGTTTATTTGGTAAAATAAACAGTAAAACCGTAAATATTTTCTATAAAAAGTTCAAAACTGTGATTGAACTTAAAAAAAATATTATTTAGAAAAAAATAATATTGAAACCAAAATTAGAAGAAAAAAAAGATATTTATTGAAGTTATTAACTTAGATTATTTGATAATGAATTTATAATTTAAAGTGGGCCAAAAGTCTAGGGCTGTTCAATATGGTGATACCAAACCGTACCGAACCGAACCGAACCGAAATAGACAATATGGTTTGGATTTGGTATATACCATATAAACCGAATGGATATGATTTTATAAAAACCGTAGGATTTGGATATGGTTAGGTTTATAACCGATTAAACCGAATAAACCGAACAAAACCGATCAAAGAAAAAATATATAAATATATACATTATATAACCATTTATT